GTGTGTGTGTGTGTGTGTGTGTCTCCACTCAACCTTGGGTTTTGTAAGGAAAATTAATCCATGCGGGCCAGTCCTGTTCAGAGGCTAAGAAAGGAGGCTGAACTTTCAAACTTCTCCCCAGTTAAATATTTTAGGTTCTGTTGGCCAAGATAAAGAAGTTGCACTCACGTTTTCGTTTCTTGCTGCATTTCCTCGACTTGTCGTTTTAACGCTTCGTTCACCTCAGCAAGAGCAGACATCTGGTCTCTGTCAAACTGCAAGGCCTGAAAAACACAGACATTTCAAGAAGACAAAGAGATAGGCATAAACTACCTGATCCATACCACAGAAGTGTTAAACTTGCATAACCAGTAACAGGGACATGCCAAGTGAATAAACTCAGTATATACCATAGAAGTGTTAAACTTGCATAACCAGTAACAGGGATGTGCATATATATATATATTTTTATGACCCATACTCTATTCCATGGGCTCAAGGAAAATACTAAAGAATGCCAAGGTCTGTTCAGTTCAACATTCTGGCTGTTTTCTGAAATCCCAATGAGAAACAGGACCAAGAACAGACATGTAGAAGCTACCTTCTCTAAACAAACTCTGATTAATCTTAACCAAAGAGGTTCTTGAAACAGGCCAGCATTAAACTGTGGTCACCAGACATAACATTAAACTGCAGTTAATTGAAATGGAAACTAAACTGCCTCCATATGACCAAAAAAAGGAGAAGAGAGGAAGAACATGTAGATCGAGGACTGAGGTTAAGCTTGTTCATCATGAGATTTAAATCTAGCCCCTCCATCCAGTATAGGGGAAAGCTTATTTTAACAGATGCAACTGAAGTGCTATATAGCAGTGGTCCCCAACCTTGGGCCTCCAGATGTTCTCGGACTACAATTCCCAGAAAGCCTGGCCAGCAGAGGTGGTGGTAGAGGCTTCTGGGAGCTGTAGTCCAAGAACATCTGGGTTACCCAAGGTTGGGGATCACTGCTATATAGTATCCACAGGATCAGTACCCGCGGTTTCACCTATCTGCTGGCTGAATGTTTTAAAAAATATATAAATAAATAAAACCCAGAAATATACGTTCCCAAGCTGTATTACCAGCACTGGCCATTAGATGGAGCCAGAGACTAGGCTACATACAGGTGGCTTAATGGAAATGCAATCATGGCTTGACATCTTGGAACGAAGCAGCTTCGGGTGAAACAGAGAAGCCGCAATTGCAGGGGTGGTGGTGAGGATCCGGCCGTTGCTGGTTTCAGGGAAGCTTCTTTTGCAAACAGGAAGGCAGGAAACCCAATCCTTTACCAAAGAGCCCAGGGGTCTCTATCTCAACCATGCAGAGACAACTAAGAAACTGGAAGTGTTTCACTTAACTGCTGTTTCCAGCATCCGCGGGGGCAGGCGGGCTTGGAAATGATCCCTCACAGATGCCACAGTCCTACTGTAATTACCGTACTTTTCCATGTATAAGACGCCCCCATATATAAGAAATCTAAGTTGGGCTTAGCAAGTGTAGGGGAAAGGGATCAAAGTGCTGCAGGATTGCTTTGATCCCTGCTTTCCCCTCCACTTGTTTTTGTTCTCTCCTCAGCTCACTTCCATGCATAAGACGGCCCTCAATTTTTAGTCTAAAGATTTTAGACAAAAGTATAGTCTTATACATGGAAAAAATACGGTAGGCTTTCTCCATACCTTCAGCTCTGCCTCCATGCCATCACGTTCTCGCTGTGCCACATGCAGCTGGTTCTCCAATTCCTCCATCTGCTGTTGGACTCGAGATACTTCTTTCTCCAACCTTGAGTTTTCCATCTCTACGGATTTCTTCTCGCCCTGAAGCTGAAGAAGCTCCCGTTTCAACTCCTTCATTTCAGAGTCCAGCCTCTTCTTTGTGGACTTCAGTTCGCTGATTAGCTGATCCTTTGAACTGGCGTCACGGCGGTAAGCTTCCACCATTACCTAGATGCCAAAAGAGACACCGAGAGGCTGTTTCCTAAACTGTCCTTTACAGCATTAAAATGCTACATCTGTGTGTATCGTATTTATATACAGGGCAGAGTGTGCAGCAAGCCAGTCCCAAATTTAATCTTTCTTTATTTGCCAAATAAATGAAGGAGTGAATTCAATTTATAAAGGATAAACAAGGGTGTTTAACTACAGCCCTTTCTGCAGGATAATCTTCATTACATCTACACTAAACTGTAAAAATGATGACACACAGTAAATAAAGAAAACACCCTCTAAAGAAAAAAAGAGAGGAATATTTACATAAAATACCTTTTGTTGAAGAAACTGTTCCTTCACCTTCTGCATTTGCTTCTTGAGAGTTGAACTCTCTTGTTGCAGATTCTCCACCTATTTTTTTTTTAAAAAACACATCATTGCTAAGACACTGGATGAAGACAAGAGGAGAAGATTAATACAGTTAACGCATTTTAATGGCAACTCTAGAACAGCTTTTGAGCCAACGGAATCTGAAATGCAAAAAGTTTTTTTTAAAGTGGGGGAAATAGCTTGAGTCGTTTTTTTTTCATGCCAAGCAAATGAGTTTGAATAACCTGTCTATCCATTTCCTTACACCGTTATTCTCAATAATAAATTATCACCTCCCCTAAAGTGTTTTTAATGCTCAAACTAGAAAACTAAGTTTGAAAATATATCGCCATTTCTAGGCTGGCTTTTTCTCCCAGGGAGGCACACAATGGGGAATCGAACTCCCAACCTTTGGTCCTGCAGCCAGATATCTAAACTGTTGAGCTATCCAGCCATATAAACAACATACAGTGGTGCCTCGCTTAACGACGATAATCCGTTCCAGGAAAATCGCTGTTAAGTGAAAACATCGTAAAGCGAAATTAAAAAGCCAATTGAAACGCACTGAAAACCCCTCAATGCATTTCAGTGGGGTAAAAACTCAACGTCCAGCGAAGATCCTCCATACGGCGGCCATTTTTGGCGCCTGTATAGCGAGGAATCCGTCCCTAAGCACAGCGGGGAGCCATTTTAAGCACCCGGTGGCCATTTTGAAAACCCGTCGATCAGCTGTTTTTGATCGTTGTAAAGTGAAAATCAGTTCCCGAAGCAGGGAACCGATCATCGCTAAACAAAATTCCCCCATTTAGACCATCATTTAGTGATTGTAACTGTGATTGCAAAAACATTGTTGTAAAGCGGATTTGTCGTAATGCGGGGCAATCGTTAAGCAGGGCATGACTGTAAATAAAAAAACCCAAACCTGTCTCATAGAGGAAAGAGGGGAAAGAGACAAGAAATAAATATTTGTACTCTGAACCCATTCTATTTCAGAATGAAACTTTCATGGATCAAAATCCACTTCCTCAGACTTCTCCAGGGTGTCTGAAGAAATGGATTTGAACCACAAAAACTCACTTTGAAATAAACCTGCCAGCCTTCCAGCTCTGCAATGTTAAGGTTATTATTATTCTAAGGCTACCTGCCATAATGGACGGGCCCATAAGCCCAAGAAACTAAAGTCCGATAAGAGCTCCATAGGAGTGGGAGATATAAAAGGGGAAAGATCAGGTAAATTATGTGTGATTTCCATTGACACACAGAGAGCCTGCTATGGGTGGCAGACATTCATTTATTTTATTGCCAAGGAGTAGCTGAGTCGTTGGGGGGCCATCACAAAACATTCAGAGATGTTTCCCCCACAGGGAGTGCTTGTTGGCAAATTCCTTCCTTCTAAAGGCAAAACCAAACAGAGATGGGGACGGAGGGCTAAGAGGACCTTGTTACCTGGCTTGATTTGACAGCTACGTCTTGCCTCAGTTGCTCCAAGACATCTGAGGCAGCTTCAGCGCTGTCTCCTAAATGCTGGACTCCGTCCTCGAGTTCTTCCTTGCCTGCTTTCGCGACGTGCAGGGCGACCTCCAAGACAATCTTCTCGTTCTGCAGATATCGGATGGTGTCGTCCTTCGAGGCAGCTTCCCCTTGCAACTCGGCCAGCCTTGCCTCCAGCTCATCGTAACGGGCCTGCAGGCTGCTCAGGGACTCCTCTCGGGTCTCCAGGGTCTCCTGAGTAGAGGTCAGCTGTTTCATGAGGTCCAGCTGCTCCTGTTGCAAAGCCTCGATCTGAAGATCTCGCTGATGTAATGTCAACTTCACCTGAACAGAGGAAAAATCCATTATGAGTCTCTCCCCGTAAAACATGAAGGACCATGGACAGCAGCAACTGCATCAAATGGCAGCAAGAGACACAGATTTTAAATAAAAATGTGTACGGTAGGACAGCAGTATTTGCACGGAATAAGTTCCAAGCCCCCCCTGCCCACAGATGTTGAAATCCATGGATATGAAAACTCTCTATAGTGGTGCCCCGCATAGCGAGGTTAATCTGTTCCGGATTAACCGTTGCTATGGCAAAACATCGCTGTACGGGAAGTAAAAACCCATTGGAACGCATTAAACTTCGTTCTAATGGCTTCTAAACTTACCGTTCAGCGAAGTTTCTCCATAGCGCAGGCATTTTTGTGCCCTCGCCGATCAGCTGATTCCCGGGCATCGCAATGTGAAGATCGGTAAGCGAAACGCTTACCGATCATCGCAGAGTGATTTTCGCCCATAGGGGCGATCGGTATGCGATCGCGTTTGCGATAGCAAAAACCTCCTCGGTATGCGGATTCGTCGTTCAAAGGGGCGCTCGTTAAGCGAGACACCACTGTATATAATATAGTCTCTAGTTCCTTCTAGTGGTCAGTTCTGTTAATCCACCCAGGAAACATGCATTTCTAGGTTTTTTAATTTAATATTTCCACATAGTGGATAATAAAAATCGTGGATACGGCAGTCCTACTGTACTTTGTTGCTACTACTAAATCCCACATTAAGACTGGAAGGAGACGCCTTATCCGTACAAATATGTTTTCATTCTTAGTATTTCGCATTCACCAGAACATTTCTAGAAGCTTTAAAAACTGTTGTTCAGATGACTGCATTTCAAGTCATCCTTTTTAATCCCCTCCTCTAGACATTTTTAATATAGGATCGAAAGGATGAACCGAGAAACAGATTTCATATTAAGCATCCTATGAAAAGTCCTTGGGCCCAGCCATCACTCCTACCTTTTCTAGTTCCTGCTCAAGCGCGGCTGAGGAACTGGCCATTTTCTGAAGCTGTTCCTTCTCATCCTCAAACTCCTCCAGTTTTCTCTGCAAGTCCTCTTCCACCATGGTCTTGGCCTCTTGGATCTGCAGAAAAGCTGCTTCCTGGTCTAACATGTCAGCCTGGTCATGAGAAAAGGCTATTTCAAGCATGTGAAATTAATCGCTGGTCGACATAATTCTATCGCATAAGAGGTTCTGGAAATCAAACCAAAATTTCCCATAGGAATGGACTGAAAACCAATTAATCCGTTCTGGCTGTTTTTTGTTATGTAGAGGTGCGTTCGTACATTGAAGCGTTAGTTCCTGTAGGAACTAATGCAAAGCTGGTTAATACGTACTCTACCACTAGGGGGAGAATTTTTTTTAACCTAAGATGACCTAAGGTTAAAAAAAGAGCAGGAAAGGTTTTTTTTCCTGTTCTTATCTTGGATTTCTGTTCTCAAGTAGAAGCAAAATTTAGCAAATGGAGCTGTTCTTAAGTTGGATTGTTCTTAAGTAGGGATGTTCTTAAGTAGAGACCCCACTGTAATTCTATCGCATAAGAGATTCTGGAAATCAAACAACTGAGCCCATCAAGATATCCATCCTTCATGCCACTAGTTCCCAACCCAAGTGTTTTTCGACTACAATTCCCAGAAGCCTTCACCACCAACTGTGCTAGCCAGGGTTTCTGGGAATTCCAGTCCGAGAACATCTAGGTTACCCAAGGTTGGGAACCACTGCTTCACCTTGACTATGAGACGAACCGTACTCCAAATTTGCCAAAGAGTTTTCTTTTTTCTTTGATTAAACCTGGAAGGAACTATAAGCTCACTTTTACTTTGATTTTGGGTGTGTGTGGAAGAGGCTGAATTTGGAGATTTTTGCCTCCTTGAAAAAATCCACTCCCAAAGGCCTCTAAAAGCAGAAAAACGAATTTTGAAAAAGTTCGTCTCGAAGGGGTAGCCCCGGAGGAGCTCCATGATGCTTTACAAGGTAGAGAAATGGCCTCTATGAGTTACATGTGGCCACACTTTGTCCTGCTCTGGTCTGTAAATAGAAAGAGGAATTAGTTTGGTCTATGTTTGCTAAATGAATCTAATTTGCACTTCCTGAACAAATAATCACAAAAGATGTACTCCTTGGGCAGAAAAAGGAAATCACGTATTAACCATGTTCAGATACCACATTAAGCCACAGTTAAGTGAACACATCTTTATAAGCATTGGGACCTCATAGTCCTGCACTACCCCTTTCTTTTCTGGTGCGGTCAATAAGGAATGTAGAATTTTTGGCTTCCCAGTTTTGCTTAAAAGTGGGTTGCCTTTTTGTCTACATCATCAAATTTTGATAAACAGTTAACTAAAACATCTTTAAAACAAGCCATGATGAAACCACAGCGCTTTCCTGTATATCTGAATGCAAACCACCATCAAGCTTTCATTATGCGTAACCATAAATGCATGGACAAACAAACAAAATGTGTAAATATGAACTGCGTAGAACTGGCCTCTTTCTTCCAAGTCAGAAAGCTATTCTAGCCTTAACAGGAAACCATATATTCATGTTAATATTTTGGTGATTTTTTTTAGTTCCACACCTCCAGTTAAAATTTTAGAGAGAAAAAAAAATTGGAAACCCTATATTTCCACAGGAAATGCTAGTCAAGTTCACGAGAAAAAAAACCCTCAAAGCTTGTACCTCAATATTCTGCAGCTGCGTTGCTATACGTTCCTTCTCTTTGATGGATCGGTGCTGAGTCTCTGTTAACTGATGTGAGAGGGTGACATTCTCCAATTTCAGATGCTCCAGCAAGCCCACCTGCGTCATTTCTTCAGCCTTGGGGAGAGAGAGAAAGAGAAGGAGAGAGGGAGAGAAAAGGAGGAGGCAGAAAGTAAAGTTACTATAAATATTCCAAATGCCCAGGAAGAGTGGTTCAAAAATGATTTTTGTTTTCTTTTTTAATCTTTTTAATCTGACATTATGGCAATGCCTCAACCATTCACAATAGGCTTCGTGTGTTCCATGTTGTAGAGCAGTGGTCCCCAACCTTGGGCCTCCAGATGTTCTTGGACTTCAACTCCCAGAAATCCTGGCCAGCAGAGGTGGTGGTGAAGGCTTCTGGGAGTTTCAGTCCAAGAACATCTGGAGGCCCAAGGTTGGGGACCACTGTTGTAGAGGAAGCCCGTAAACAGCGTGTTTTCATATTGAACTGGACTTGTTCCAAAGCAAGCATATTGGCAAATCTTTGAGTCCAAATCCCGAGTCTGACTCTTTGGTATCAACTCCCAAGTCCCAAGTCCGAGTCTCTATTTAAAACAAGCTTTCCCCCTCCCCAGAAAAAAAGGAGGAGTGGGTGGGTTCCCAGTCACGAGTTCGAGGCACTGGTGTGGCTTAATTCTGACTTGCCAGGCAGTCCCGCAACATGAATCCCCATCCTGGTTTGGACGCTCTGCTCAGGGAACTTTCTTGAGAGAGTCAAGACATGGAAATAAGAAGTGGAAATGAGAGAGAGAGGCGCCCATCCCAGTTTTAGTGCCATGGAATGGGTTCATAAACATTTATTTATTAAAAAAAATATTTTTACCCCACCTTTCTCGTGCAACCTTCAGAACACGGCCAAAGAGCCCGAAAAACCCACAACAACCATCTTTATAATTGCTTATATACAACTGTTTTGTTAGCATACCATAGTTATAAAGTACAAAGTTTTGTACTGGTTTTTATTGGTGCCTCTCTTTTTTTTGGATTGCCACTGCAAGACTCTCTAAGTCAGCATGACCACCCATACCGGCCCTGAGCTTCCGAGAGCCGCAGTCCGAAAACCGAACTTTTCCAAGCGCTGATCATGAGCGTTTTAAAGGGGAAAGAAGCAAGCGACCTCCCGCTGACCTGTATGTTTGCCATCTCGCTCTGCAGCCTTATCCTCGCCTCCTGGGCCACGGCCAGCTGCTGCTGGTACCAGCGGCGAACTTTCTGCAGAGAGGCGATCTCCGCCTGGGATGACTTCAGCTTGTTGGTCAGCGTGGTGCGATCCAGCTGCACCTGCTGGAGCTGGCTTTGTAAAGACGAGAGCTGCTCCCGGAGATCGTGAACTGAAAAAGCCAAGGGAAAATAAAAGGAAGCTGTTTTTTTTGAGACGAAGGGCAACGGAAAGCAAACCTGTGTCTTACTCGTTGGGAGTTTTCATGATGCCCTTCCAATGAAATGAAAATGCAAAAAAAGAGGATAAAGACAACGGTACTGAACTAACTTTTTTTTAGTGTAATAAGTTTTTTTAAAAAAACTTTTTCTAAAGAAAAGACAATCTATCATGTTATAGTAAATACAAAGCTTAACATAGTAAACTGTCATCTTGTTATATAATTTTAAATTGTTGACCAATTGCTATTCCCCACAATTCTCAAACTCACATTTACACCATTCCCCATCTCATCTTAAAGAAATATCAACCAACAATCTAAATGCTCCAAATTGTTTTCCAAATCACGTGTACTACGACTTATTTTATTGGCATAATTTTAATAAAGGTTTCCAATTTTCAGTGAATTGACCGTGCTTTATTTCTCCTCTATATAGTCCAACCTTATTAGTCATTTTTTCCATCAACATTGTAATGCCATATCTTATTCGTAAATGCTTGTAATGAGAGATCGTGAGCGTTTTCCCAATTCCTAGCGATCTCTAGCATTTTTTTCCAATTTCTAGAAACTTGAAAAATAAAGAATGAGTTGCAAATCTTATAGGCACCGCAAGATCTGAGATTGCTTACGGCAGTGGTCCCCAACCTTGGGCCTCCAGATGTTCTTGGACTTTAACTCCCAGAAATCCTGGACAGGAGAGGAGGTGGTGAAGGCTTCTGGAAGTTGTAGTCCAAGAACATCTGGAGGCCCAAGGTTGGGGATCACAGGCTTACGGTACTGAACTAACTAAAACACACATCAGCATAGAAGCACTAAAACTTAGGCGCTAAAATGAAAAATAAACAGACAAACTTTGGGGGTCTGTTTGAATGCTGAGAAAGCCAACGTTCATGGATTGGTACTCTATAATTTTTTTAACTGATACGGTCTGTGCTAACACAGACATACAACTTTGGAACTGCAGGGCTGGAAAGGACCTTATGGATCACCAACCCATCCTTCACAAGGAGGCAAGCAGGGAATCAAACTTTGAACTTAGTACTTAAACGGCGGAGCTATCCAGTCCTGTGGAAGGGTGGCGAACAACAGGAAACTTCACATCTATGTCAGCATCCTCTATGCAGTTCAATATGTACCGCAGAAGATTGATTACAGCTGTCCAACACACTCTGGAAATTGCCTATTGATGGACAAAATGTACCGTAGAGGTTTACTGTGTTCTTTCGTGAACAAAGAAAGAACTGATGTGATTTTTAATGTCTTTTCATTCAGTTTTAACATTATAGTTTATTCAATCATGTTTCCGTGTTATCACTTCTTCTCTGCTACTCTCTACCCTGCTTTTTTGGGCCTTCACCTTGACCTGTTTGGAAATGTATGGGGAGTTGGCTTTAACGCCATTCTCGAGAAAAAGGCAGAAGAGAAATCCAACGGATAAATTGTTCACAGAGAAATACACACAGTGGTGCCTCGCTTAACAAGCGCACCGTTTAACCATGAATCCGCATAGCAATCTATTTTTTTAGATCGCTAATGTGATCGCATTGCGATGTTCTGAATAGGCAAAACATCTCATTGTGATGATCGGTAAGCGTTTCGCTTATCGATCTTCGCATTGCGATGTTTTTTTAAACAGCTGATCGGAGGTTCCAAAATGGCCACTGCAAGTGTTTTCACGCCCTGCCCTCGCTTACTGAGGGCGCGAAAATGGCGGCGCTATGGAGGAACTTCGCTGAACAGTGAATTTGGGAGCCATAGGAATGCATTAAACAAAGTTTAATGCGTTCCTATGGCTTTTTCAGTTCCGTTTAGCGATGTTTCTACATAGCGACAATTAATCCGGAACGGATTAACGTTGCTATGCGGGGCACCACTGTAAATGAATGCTAGTTCATGGATGGAAAGAAATGAAAAGCCAGATGGGATAAACAGATTCCTGGGGCTCTCCCCACCTGCTCACCTGTGCTGTCTTTGCTAAGGACGTTCTTCTGCAGTTCTTCCACTTTTCCCATCAGTCTTTGGTACTGTTCTTCTGCTACCTTGAGGTCATTATTGGAAGCGGCCAGGCCAGCGTTCTTGGCTTCCAAGGCCGCCTGCAGGTCCGCCATCGCTCGCTCCAAGTCCCAGCACGACTGTTTCAAGTTGGCCACCTCCAAGTTCAGCGAATCCTGTTTCTGCTGGCTGGTCTGGCTGTGTTCTGCCTGGGTCTGGAGCTTCATGTGCAAAGCAGCAAGCTGGGCTTGTAGTTCTGTCTTTTCTTTGAGAGCCTGAACAAGACCAAAAGCATGAATGAATGAATGAATGAATGAATGACGGCTTTTAGGAGACAGATAGAATGATCCAATCTGGTCCAGACTGTTCTTCAGATTACTCCCTGATATTCATTTCTAAAATCAGGGGTAGCCAACCTTCCTCTCACCTCCACCCCAAGGGTGGCCTTCTAAGTGAGGGGATTTATTGGGGTGCCTGCTGAGGCACCTCACATTCAGTTTTAAAAGTTACTTTCCAAAAGTAACAAGTTCCTGTTTCAAGGAAAAGTAATTAGTTGGTGTCATGGTACATTTTTTTAAGTGTTTCCTTTCTCAAGCTTCAAAAATAACAAGATTGGTTACTTTTAGCGGCTTAAGAAAACACTACAATCCATTAGCTTGAGATACAAAGCGACAAGGTTGTAACTCTTGTTTATCCCAACAGCTTTTAAAGTAAAAACAGTTACAGTTACAAGGAGTGGTTGTTTTTTAAGCTACAGTTGTAATATAACTTACACCTTATCTGTTACAAGTGGAATTACTTCTAAGCTCTCCCTGCATTCTTCTGAAATCAGAGCCACCCTATAATCATCTTTCTTGTTCAGAAACTGAAAGAGTGGGGCAAGATACACTCCTAGCTTCTTCACACATCATGTCCTCTCGTGCCTATTAAGGAAAGGAACTTCGCTATGCTTACGCTACATCTCCTTACAACCACTATAAGCCACAAAGCATTGGGGGGAAAACAGCACTCTTAAGTCGCTTAAAATCAGCTTGAGGATGATCTAATGATGAGCCATCAAATTATTTTCCAACTTACTCTGACCTTGCTAGAGTTGCAGCTTCATTTAAAGGGAAATGCATGATTTAGGGGTTCCAAAGAGTTGGAGTTTTGGGGTTTTTTCCTATTATGGCTTTACTTGGGACATGGTGGGGCTGCGGGTTAAACCGCAGAAGCCTCTGTGCTGCAAGGTCAGAAGACCAGCAGTCGTAAGATCGAATCCATGCGATGGACTGAGCTCCCTTCGCTCATCCCAGGTTTTGCCAACCTAGCAGTTCGAAAGCATGCAAATGCAAGTAGGCAAGTAGATTAACAGGTACCACCTCAGTGGGAAGGTAACGGCATTCCGTGTCTATTTGCGCTGGCCATGTGACCATGGAAACTGTCTTTGGACAAACGCTGGCTCTATGGCTTGGAGACGGGGATGAGCACCGCGTCCTAGGGTCAGACACGACTGGACTAAATGTCAAAGGGAACCTTTACCTTTACTAACCTATTATGGTTTTAAAACAACAGACCTTCTAGTGGCTGGCTTCTAGAACTCAGCTTACTTTTAAAAGCCTGTTTACATATACCATCCAGAGTCTGGTTTTCGAACCGTGCATGCGCATCACCTTGTTCCTTGGCCATGCAGCAGGGAGGTCCATTAGGACACCTCAACACTATTCAACCGAGAAAGTCAAATTCACGTGTACCTCGTTGGTTTCTAATGACAGCGCTTCTAGTTGTCCTTCAAGTCTCATTTTCTCTTTGAGGATCTGCAACATTTCATCGTGGGTCCCTAAAACGGAACTCTCCATCGATACACTGCAAGGAGACAAAAGCAGACACGTACTTTATTCCAATGTGGGAAATGTAGTTTTCATTGAACGCGTATCGATTTGCACGGTTTAATCATAATTCACCTTTCTTCCCTCTAAGGGAAGAAAAAATTGGACAGGAATGGAATAAATAAATACAATCCACATTTTTTTTTCTCATCCAAACGATTTGATGATTCCTCTTCTTTCGTTCAAGCGACTCCCAAACCGAGACATGCGTTAAATTATTTTAAAATAACGCAAGTCCTTCAATTTTCTTTAAAAAGAGAAAACAGCAGTAAAAACAAAGCAAGCCACACTGTGATACTGACTTTTTACCCATCCGCTAATTCTAAGCGAGACTTGAAAGAGATCAGCTTTAAGACCTCATTACAGTATCACAACACAAGTAAGCTGTTGAGAACCAACGGGTAATCCGGCTCTTAAAGGGCTAACATGGATAAGAGGCCCAATGGTGAGAACCTTTGAATCTTGTTATGTGCAAAAAGCTGGAAAAGGACTGTGTGTGGATTAAATACTTATCAAGTATGAGAAGGGCAGCAGAGGGTTTACAGACAAGAGAATGTGACTAAAGAGTCTGCTGTCTAGGTATAATATAAGAGAGGTGCAAAGTTGTGCCTTTGGATTTCAGTTCCTCAGTTGAGGTTCAAACAATTGTATTAAGATCATCAGGGGAGGCCGTTCTCTCGGTCCCACACCCTCACAAGTGCACTTGGTGGGGAAACGGGAGAGGACCTTCTCTGTGGCTGCTCCTAGACTCTGGAACTCCCTCCCACTGGTTGGCCTGTCCCCATCTTGGCTGTCCTTCTGCAAGCAGGCAAAGACTGTCCTCTTCAAGCAGGCCTTTCCTTAGAGACTGGCTGTCTGAATGGATTGTTATGCCTTGTATGTCATATGCTGGTGGTTCCTGACCTTGGATCATCCAGGTTTTCATGGGACTACAACTCCCAAAAGCCTTCACCACTAGCTGTGCTGGCCAGGATTTTTGGGAATTGTAGTCCAAGAACATCTGGGGCCCCAAGGCTGGGGACCCACGACTCTAGATGTTTCAGCCTTCAACGCCCAGAAGCTTCAGCCAACATGGCTAAATGTGAAGGCTTCTCAGAGCTGGAGACTGAAACATTGGGAAGACCAAAACTTGAGAAAATAGCTTTACAGGACGCTCCAGAGCATTAGAAAAGGTAATGACAAGAGTAGGTTTAAAACAAGTGAATCGAATGCAAAAGGAGTCCCTGAAGGTTAGAAGGTCAGAATACCGTGGCCACCTCACCTGCTCGAGATACTGTCTCTCCGGCTCCTTGCTTCTCCGTTGACTTCTGGATCTTGAGTGTGATGTTCCGTGGCAGCTGCCTGTAGCACTTCTCGGATGGAAGGAAACTGTCCAACAGCATCCAAAGGAACCTCTTGGCCATTGACCAGGACCGAAACACCCTGGCTGCTCTCTGCGCCGAATAAAGCGCTGTATTGTCCCCTTCCCGATACACTGCTGTATGTAGAACTGTCGCTCTCGTTGCCATCTAGCTTGGTTCCGACTTCGCTTCCGTCGATTTCCGACACGTTGTCTCCTGCCAAAGAGGAGCGGTCCAGCCGGTCGTCCGGATCGGGCGTCAGCCTGATCTCAGACACCACGGAGGTCAGGCTGTTTTGATTCCGTGTTAGAGACCTGCCAGGCGAGGAATTGGCAACTGGAAGAGAGACTCCAGCATTTTCCTCTGGATCTTCAGTTCTATAATCGGCCAGAGACCGGATCCTGTTTGATCGGGAAGACTTGGAACCTTTTTTCTCTTTCGTGTGGGTTGGAAGTCCTAAGCTTCCGACTTTTGGTCCTCGGGGGACGCTGGTTCTCAAGAAAGAGTATTCTTTGGTCATAGCTACAGTGCTGGCTCTCGGCAAGGTCTCTGGATGTAACATCAGCTCGGGATCAAGGGTGCTGGAGGGACGGGTTTTGGCCGAAGACTGTTTAGACCAAAAAAAAAAGACAGAATAGGAACAGAAACAGAAAAACACTCCTGATAATTAAAAACTAGCAAGGGAGAACAAAATCAACACTTCCTTTTTTCCAATCAATGAACTGCATGGCTTAAATGCTACAAACTGAAGACAGCCTAATTTAAATGTAATAAATAAAAGAATCTCTTTGACATTTTAAAAAAACATCAATCATAACTGTAATCCCTACCAATATGCAATTATTTAAGGAATCTCCCAAAAGTTTCCTCCCATCTGGATAGCTCAGTGAGATTGTAAGCCAAGTACAGTGGTGCCTCGCTTAATGAGCGCACCGTAGAATGACGAATCCGCATAGCAAGGGGGGTTTTTCGATCGCAACTGCAATCGCAAAGTGATGGCCCCAATGGGCGAAACTCGCATAGCGAAGGTCGGTAAGCGTTTTGCTTACCGACCTTCGCTTTGCGACCCGCGGATCAGCTGTTCGGCGGCTCCAAAATGGCCGCCGGAAGCCCCAAAATGGCCACGCGCAGCGTTTTCGTGCCCTCGGTAAGCGAGGGGAGGGCGCGAAAATGGCTGCCGGCCATAGGAAAACATCACTGAACTGTGAGTTTTAGGCCCATTTGGAACACATTAAACAATGTTTAATGCGTTTCAATGGGTTTTCTTGATCCGTTCAGTGATGTTTTCACATAGCGAGGGTTAATCCGGAACGGATTAACCTCGCTATGCGAGACACCACTGTATCTTTAGTTACCACCTGTTTTTTTAAATGCAATTTTAATTTTTTACTTTAATGATGTTTGTAGTATGATGCGTTATATGTCATTGCTATATATCACCCAGAGTGATGGGCAACATAGGAAGGAAGGAATCATTAAATACCACAAAACAATCAGGACCATCATCAGTTTTCTAAAAGAGGAGTGAAATTCAGTGTTGTTACTTTTAGCTGCCTGTAACCCATGTTGCTAGGGGATAAATTAAAGTCACTTCAGTCTGGATGGAAAGCTATCTGCTGGCTTCAAATGCAAAGAGGAAGGAAATGGCAACTCAGATAGCCAAGAGTGTAGGCGGGTTTCCATAGGAGGAGCGTGACGAGATGACAAGACTTCCCAAGACACAAAGACGGGTGGGGCAAGTCACAATACTTCCAAACTTGAGGAACTATTGCTTGCTGCAAACACAGTCACTGAGAACAGGTCAGGATCATATGATGGCATGACGGTTAAGAGAAAATTAAACCAACCTCTGGTATGGATCTCATAAGGAACTGTAGCTTGTCTAAAGCCATTGGTTCAAGTGTCTGATTTTCGCTGGTGCACAGAGGGAGAGGCGGGACACCTAAGCCACAACCTTGCTTTGGTTTATTCATTTAGGAAGAAATCATGGTTGTGATCACATCTGAACTAGGTCCATTACCTGCACAGTTGCTTTGGCGCCTTGCCTTCAAAGGGCTAAATGGAGGTCTTTAAATTGCATAATTCAGTGATCACTTAAAAAAACAACAAGTAGGCCTGGGATTTGGCGATTAAAAAAAAAAAAACCCAAATGCTGTAAGTTTCCATTCTGGAAGTTCTACCTCATATACCTGTATCTACAGATGCCTGAACACTTCTCACCTGGAGGAAAGGCCTAACTGGTAAGACTTCAGAGACCTAGTTCTGCTTGGAGAAGGAAGCTCCCAGTGAGCGTTGGGGACAGCCTCCTTTCTGCCCAGGCAGTAATGGTGGAGGCCCAGCCTCTGAAACCTTCCCATCTAGGCCTTTTCGCCACGTGAAACACATGTAGGCCTCTGTACATATGGGCATCTGAGGTAGAACTCTCAGAATAGAGGATTGTGGGATCTGTAGTCCAAAAAACTCCCCAAACCCCATGCCTAGTCCCTCCCACAGCACTGCTTCGAGCCTCTCCTTTGTAGCACAGATCTATCGGATTTATGGGATTTTATGAGTCATTCTAACTCAAGACTCTGTCACAAAGTTTTGAAGTTCTGCTAAAATTCCTTTTGCTACACTGTCGAAGTACAGATGCTCACAGAAGACAAGTTTCAAGTTCCCCAGATAGTCCACCCCTTTCTCATGAAATGGCACTTTAAAAAGTCTCCATGATTCACTCGGAGACATTGGTAGGAGAAAGAATAAAAACATTCCATTACTTACAACTGTGAACATAACAACAAACAAACAACTAACTTCAAAGGACTAAAGAGGTGGGAAAAGAACTCAGCAGAGCAGGGGGGGCTCTATTTGAATTCAGAGAGGTAGGAGGAACGATTGGTTAGTGCTGGATTGATTGACAGTCACCCAGCCCAGGAAAGTCCCTCCCAGACACTTAAACCACAGGCTGCATGCGAGGTTGCAAAGAAAACTCCAACAGTCTCAACATCTGAGCATCTACACACTTTACGCACTTACTCTTTCCTGATGCCTTTTTACGCGGTACTGTTTGAGTTGTTCTTCAAGACGCCGTCTCGCCTGGAGCCTGATTTGTTCCTCTTTCTCCAGTGGAAGCGAAGAGTCTGCAGAACCTGCAAAATAAAGAGATGGTTGTATTTACTCCGATGCACATGGAATTGGTGGACTCCATTATTTCTTAGCAAAACCATGAAAAGTTGGAGAGAAAGGAAAAAAGGAAAAAGTAGGGTTTTTTTGTCTCATTTACAAGACTGGAAGGTACAGTGGTTACAGCTGTTCAGACAAAGCTGCTTGAGCCAAAAGTTAGTGGAATGTATTATCTCCTACAGGTTTGCTAGATCTCACTGAACACCACAGATCCCATATTCAAGATTAGATCTAGCAGCTCCAACACGCCAGCAGCCTTAGGATCCAGATAGTTAGTAGCCAGTAGTATAGAAGATGCAGAAGTGTAAAGCCTTCCCATCCAGCTAAGTTGTTGGACCAGTCATTAAGTATTGAACCGGCGAGTAGTCGGGTTAAATGGGATAATTCTGCTTAACTTATATCGCATGATGAATGCAATATAAGTTAGGTCAATGCAATCTAACCTTACAGGATGAACAATCTGTGACAGATCAGCACTTACAAAGTTACTTTTTTTGGAGTACCGATCTCAGAATCCCCAGTCCACCCCCAAAAAAAGTTACAGAAAAGACTATGAAAGTCTTAGGTTCTTATCGACTGAGCAGGTGGTTTCAGGTGTCCAAGCTCTTGGTCCAACCTGTTAGCTGAAATGCAATATCATAGGACCCCCATATCCACAGGAGAATGGTTCCAAATCTTCCCCACCGCAGATGCCAAAAAACATGAATACAGTCGTGCCCCGCTTAACAATTTCCTCGCTTAATGAGGAAATTGCTTTACGATGAGGTTTTTGCAATCGCAAAACAATGGTCTAAATGGGGGAATTTCGCTTAGCGATGATCAATTCCCTGCTTTGGGAACCGATTTTCGCTTTCCGACGATCAAAAACAGCTGATCGACGGGTTTCAAAATGGGTGCCGGCTGAAGAAAATGGCCCCCCGCTGTGCTTAGAGATGGATTCCTTGCTGCACAGGCATGGAAAATGGCTGCCCCTATAGAGGATCTTCGCTGGACGGTGAGTTTTCAGCCCATTGGAACACATTAACCGGGTTTTAATGCATTTCAATGGGCTTTTTTATTTAGTTTGACGATGTTTTCGCTCTACAGCGATTTCACTGGAACAAATTAACATGGTCAAGCGAGGCACCACTGTAATAGTAAACCTTACACATAGCATGGTTTCGCAAAGTGACCAGTTCTGGTAACTGCATTGTGGAAATACACATTTCTGGGTCTTTTTTTAAAAAAAGTTTTTAAAATTTTCAGACCACAGATAGGAAAAACCATCTGTGGATACAGGGGTCCTACTGTCCCTTTAAGCATAACTTTTCCATTAAAGTTTTCAAGCCCAAGTAAAGGTCCACACATTTTGTTTGCAAGGGTGAGTACGCCAACATGCAGTGACAGAAAATGAAACAGCCCCTCATCCATAAACTTCAAGGCCATTGTGTAAGCATTGATATTAAGAGCACGCCATTCACTCACTTGGTCTTTAAGGGTCCACGGGTGTTTCAGCAATGGGTCAGCACTCCCTCTGCATTTCAGATACTTCTACTAGAGAGCCCTAGTTACCCATTCTAGCATTAAGGATGGCCATAAAACGTGTGTATTAACAGCCATAAGGTCACACTTGAAAATACAGAATGGCTCCCTATGGAAGCATCCAATGGGTTGAACCCTCTCGCCAAAGAATCTGCCAGATTCTGAGTAAAAAAAATTTAAATTTTTCCCAGGCACTTTTGTGTGTATGAGCACTTTTGTTTATCTGCTTGAGTTCTTCCTTATTTTAGATTAAAGGTAAAGGTTCCCCTTGACAATTTTTGTCCAGTCGTGTTCGACTCTAGGGGGTGGTGCTCATCCCCGTTTGCAAGCCATAGAGCCAGCGTTTTTGTCCGAAGACAATCTTCCGTGGTCACGTGGCCAGTGCGACTTAGACACAGAACGCTGTTACCTTCCCACCGAGGTGGTCCCTATTTATCTACTCACACTTTCACATGCTTTCGAACCGCTAGATTGGCGGGACCTGGGACAAGCGACAGGAGCTCACTCCATCACATGGATTCGATCTTACAGCTGAAGATCTACAGACCTTACAGCACAGAAGCTTCTGCGGTTTAACCCGCAGTGCCACCACGTCCCTTAAACGTATTTTAGATTACTTAGATTATTTATCATTTAGCTTATTTTAGATCACTGACGGTTAGTACTATTTTTGTATTATTTTTATGTACACTTTCCCTAAGCAACAGAGAAACCAACAAACTTGATTTCTGATGTCTTGGTCTCTTGCTTAAATTTGACACCGATACCCAAAGGGCTGGTGTGACGGTAGTGGTTAAAGAAACCCAACTGAATCTGAACCACTCACTCTTTACTTCACTCTCTGCCTTGTGGGGTTGGCCCGTGTTTAAAACAATTGATCATTATTTTAAATGTTTAGGAGTTTTAAAGGATCCTTTGTGTCAAACCGAACCGTGACGGTGACATTTACACAAACCTGCAACAGGAAGTGAGCAAGTGTGTTAATTACAGACTCACAAGCATTCATGGTGCAGCACACAATTCAAGTTGCATTTCATAGCCTTTTAAATGAGTATTGAGAAGGAGAGATTTTTCCCCCCAAAGGCCCGCAGAGAAATGGGGAGAAAAAGCCGGAAGAGCTTCATGTAGAGGAAGAGGAAAAAAACAGGGAGGCTCTGCCGTAAACAGATGCTTACACAAATCCGTTTCTTGCATGGGGAGGCTTAGTTTGAGGGAGTGCAAGGCTTCCTTCCTAAGAACTACGCCCTGAGGACTAGCTCCCTGAGACGACTTTAGGTTTCCATGAAAACCAGGCACACCTGGAGCTGGCTCTTCCCCACACGGACTGCCACTGGGTTCGGGGTAGTGAGACGCGGGTCCGTTTGCGCGAGGGTTCTGAGTCCCGTTCGGCTCCCGTGCGACTCCTTCGGCTGCTCCGCGGCCATCCTTTGCATCCGTCGCTGGAAAACAGAATCAAAGGGTGGATTGCTCTCGTTGAGCACCAGCGGCAAAGGGTTACAGTGGAAGAACAAATCGTCCGCTTCGCTCTTCCCGCTCTACTGTTAGGGAGCGGTGAGCAGCTTCCTCGGACTTGGACCTCCAGGACTCAGGGTAACCCGAGCAGTCCTGGTATGAGAACTTAGCCGCCAAGACTAGACAGTGGCAACTCTATCAGAAACAAATCCGATAGGATCTCTTTTCTTTTCCGCCGCCTAGAGTGGCCTTTTAGGCCAGATGGGTGGGGTATAAATCAAATCAAATCAAATCAAATCAAATCAAATCAAATCAATCAATCAATCAATCAATCAATCAATCAATCAATCAATCAATCAATCAATAAATAAATAAATTTTCTGCAAGTCCCAGAATCCTCCAGCCGATTTCCACAAGCCAATTCTGGGAGTTGTGATCTCTAAATGTAACCAACCACCCTACCTACCACCCTACTTACCACCCTACTTACCACCCTACCTACCTACCTACCTACCTACCTACCTACCTACCTACCTACCTACCTACCTACC